TCTGCATCTGGAGTGGTTTTTGTGGAAGTTCACTTCGTTAGCATTGGTGTCTGGGGGTGGGAGGAGGGGAAAACGGCAGCATATGGATTCCGTTTGTTTCATTGTCTTATATTTTGAAGATCAACAATGAAGATGAAGGCAGATCCCCTAAATAGCAAGCCGAATTTCTATGTAAAGCTGAGCGTATCCAGTGCCTCGCTAACATAGATGCAGCATGCAATGACAAGTTTTTTGGAAGAGGTATGAACCTGCATTTGTTACAAGTGGTGCTTCTCAGTCTCTGCGGCTTGTTTGTTGTTTCAGCGGAATACATTCTGGGAAGTCTTGTCTCTCAGTTATTCCGAATATAATCGTCATAAACTCCACTCCTTTTGCTCTCAAGTATATTGCCATCAAACTAAATTTGCTGCTACTTTTGAGGGTGAAATATGGTGAGCTGGAAATGGGCTTGCAATAATGCCCTTAACAAGTGATGAGAAGACAGGTTTTAGCTCATAATTTTTCTCCCACGATAGCGTATTTTGCTTAAGGTAAATAAAAGCAGCATTAAAAGGCTAAATTATGTAGTACAAACGTAAGATAAACCCAAGTTTGAACAGAAACATCGTTCACGACCTCATCAACGAGTTTGTTGATGTTTGAATGTGACTGATGAGATGGGTCAGTCATGCGAGGCAGACTGAATGAAGTTGATTTGCGATTTCTCTTTGCCTTTCTACAGTCTTCTTTTCTGCTGCCACTTCCGGAGTTTTTGCACTTTGTGCCGCTTTCTTACCTCAATCAGGAAAACTGATGCATAACACGATGAATGGTGTTGGTGGCAATCCATGAAGGTGCATGCTGTTACAAACAAGACCAAGATGTAAGCAAAACAAGTAAGCAAAATAACGAACTACACGTTTTTTAAGCTTTTAAATTTAATTTTTATGCAATTTTAAAGCAAAAAGGAATACGAGCGTTATTTGCATAGTTTTAGAATATGAACTACTAGAATCGAGTTCACGACCTATGTCAAAGTTCATCAGAGCTATTTCAGTCTGTGTGACGTACATTGAATACTGCCAAAACATCTATGCCTTAGAGAGAAACAAAAATTTGCATTTCAGTAGCCTCGAATATGACCTAAATGGTCCTTCTGGGGGTTCGCGAATCTCCAGTCTACGATAGGCAAGAAGAGGAAAGAAGACAGGGTCACTGGAAAAACCCTCAATGTCGATGCATTCGCTTTGGCGGATTGATCCACCCGATGGATCAGTGGTTGATTACAGTACTCATATCTCGTGTGCTTACCCTTAACTGATTAAATGTTACCAGACTTTTTAATTGTCAAGTAATTTGGTTCTAAGTGTGTGTACTGATGGCTCGTTTCAGCATACGCTGCTAGGACTTCGATCCGATGATTGTCCACTAGACAAATTCCTATTGCCCTCAGCGCAAAACAATGCGTCAAATTTCCCATAAAGAGGTGTGCAAGATCGAATGTCGGATTCGTTACCTCTTATCCATCTCTGCGCTTTGCCATCAACGGGATCGTGTCCAGAACTTCTTAGTCATTTAGATCTGAATTGCTAACTCTCGAAGAACGTGTTCATTGAAAGGTAATAGAAGTAGAGATATCTAAGTCACTTTAAACAAGTATCGCGTTTGATCGATGATTGTTGTCTCCAGTCACTTTCACTGTGGAATGAAATCAGGTTTCTTGCTATATGCAAAGATACGGACCTGACTGAGGGCGCATCGTCTCCACGTCAGCCGTAGTGACTGTCCCAGAACTCATCAATCTGCAGTAGATAGCTACTCCCAGTGATTTACCGCTTTAAAAATGCGCCAGGGTTAGTAAATAGCACTTAATCTATATGCGATTCGATTCCCCTACCACTTCTCACTTCTTACTCTAATGATTTTGCTTCTCTGAGTCGTTCTTGTTAATGCGAAAGGAGATTACCAATGGCAAAGCAATTCGTCATTGACTCATTCGAAATTGTAGAGCTGTGAGTGTGGTTGTAATGATGGATGTTGGTATGTCTACAACTGCAACCAAACAACATAGCGGCATTCAAAAGCTCTGATACAAATCTAAACCAGAAGTGGAAGCAAAATCGTAGGCGGG